TACCAACTTGTAACACCCCGAAAATTTAAACAAATTTTTAACTTTTCAAGACAACCCATTCACTAAAGAGGTATTTACAAAAACCATAGTTTCTATAACATTATTTAAAATCGGAATCATTTACAAAATAGTTTTCGAAACAGTTTCATTATCAGAGTTTCTCAGAAATCATAAGTTCCAAAAACAAGAGGATGTGTATGGTCACACCTTCACCTTACCACGATCCACTTAAGTACCTGAAACCATAAACCAAAACTCTAAGCACGAAGCTTAGTGAGTTCCCCCAAAGAACTAATTACAATAATAGCACATACACGAACAACATACTATGGGTCCAATCTTCCTCTGGTTGGAATACCCTAGGCCCCTCAACCATTGGGTTGGAATGCCTACATAATATGGGTCCAATCAACCATCAGGTTGGAATACCCCAGGCCCTTCAACTATCGAGCTGGAATGCCAAGATACTATGGATCCAATCAACCATCGGGTTCGAATATCCTAGGCCCCGATGGTCTCTCAACCATCGGGTTGGATTGCCAACATACTATGCGTACAATCAAACATCGGGTTGGAATACCCTCACACCCAATCGACCATCAGGTTGGAATGCCCTGGCCTATTAGCTTACGCACAAAGTAGAGAAGCCTCAACCACTAATTACACATGTGTACATATAACAAATAATCATATAACAATCTACAACTAGTCAAACAAATCTAACAGATCACAAAGCATAGTAACATCAGATCTACTAGGATATCGATCTAACATATCATAATAGCGTAACAACAACCTATCTACCAGGATACTGATCTAATTGTTTATAACAACATAACAACATCACCAAGTCCCGTAAGTATAGTGAGGAAAACTCACCTATTGATTTGATCCATAGCTGATGAGGTCCCGAATCTAAATCTCATCTCTAGCCAATACCTATCCATCCAAATGACTAATAATCATCAAATACCAAATACCAAGATACCCAAAATACCCTTCAAGGTCAAATTTTGTCAAAGTCAAAAGTCAAAGTCAACAGTCCATGTTGACTCTAACACGACGTGTTGCCTTACAAACACATTGTGTTCCTAACGCATCCAAATAACTGGGAAAAACCCAGCCAACACGATGTGTTGAAACTTGCAAACATGTCAGTTTTGTTAGAATTCAAACAACTTAATCCATTAAACTGCTTCCTTCAATTCCAAGAGCTTCAAAGCTCATATTTGGACCAAAATGATATGAAGGAGGATAAAGTTTCCAACTTTATCCTCTGAGCCTACTCCAAAGAGTCCAAAACCCATCTATAAGGCTTAAAGATGCAAGGACATAACCAATAAGCACTCAATCCTTAATGTTGATTCCCAATACTTTACAAAAGAGTTTCTAGCACTAAAACCATTCCAAAGGTCGGTGCTTTATAGACATGAATGTGTAATGCATGTATTGAGCCCATATTAGGTCAATAACGAGGATTATGAACTAATCTCAATGCATGACATCAAAAATCAACTATAATCCAGATCCAATAATCTATAAGGTTACCATGGCCTGGGGATTCATAAAGCTACAAAATTTATGAGATCTAACCCTTCCAACATTTAGTAATAAGGAGCTAAAAGGACAAAACACAAGATCTAGCAACATGGAATGATAAAAATTGGATCTTGGACGCTTACAAAGGTCCACAAGAGTGCCAAGCTGAAAGATGAGGGACTTGCTTACTAGATCTTTCCTTCCTTCTTCCAGTTTTTTTCTTCTATGGCTCCAAAAACACAACACTAGCTCACAAATGAGAGGAAAAGATGATTAGGGTTTCTCTTACGGTTTTAGGGGATGATCGGGACTGAGGGTTAACAAACGTTGGCCTCTACTTTCCTTTTAATAGGGGGCAAAACACAAAAAAAAAAATAGGGTTTCATTCCCAGCCATCAACACGCCTTGTTCCAAGAGGAACACGTCGTGTTGCCTAAATGAAACCCATGCCTTTTCCTTATCTAGACACGCCGTGTTGGTGCCTCCAACATGCCGTGTCGAATTCTCAAAAGGGAATTATAATCAAATTTGCTTCTCAAATTTCTAAGTGTTACCCTTTCCTCATGATCTAATGCATTTTCTACTCCCCTTGTTTTTCGTGAGTTCTTATCCTTAGAACCAAATGGTCTTCCACGCTTCAAGCGTATTTTAGACTCTTGAGTGACTTTATCATTTGATTATCCATATGGAGTTTCAATTCGAGCTGGATCATTGACAATTGGTATATATGATTTAGTCACCCTTTCGTGTTAATAAATGCATCATGCGATTTATTTTCCATTTCTTGGAAATGCATTATCTTTTAAACTTCCTTTTCACATTGATTTGTGGGTCAAGATTTGATAAAGAAGTCTCATGCCATGAAACATCCTTTTAATAATCTTCTTTTCTCCCCTAATGATGAGAAATTTGCCTCATCAAATTGGCAATCAGCTAGGCGTGTTGTGAAAACATCACCTGTTAAAGGTTTAAAATATCTTATAATAGAAACTGACTCATAACCAACATATATTCCCAACCTTCTTTAAGGACCTATTTTTGTATGTTGTGGAGGTGTAATGGGGACATATACTGCACACCCAAAAAATCTTAAATGAGATATATTTGGCTCTTAACCAAAAGAATGTTGTAGGGGATAATATACATGATTTTTGTCTATAATATACATATATTTCTTATTTTCAATGGTCAAAGTTTTTTTGTCATATCCTTTGAAATATATATGCCATTGAAACTTAGTAAGTTTCTATTAGAGTTTGGAAAAAATAAGGCATTTTCTATACAAAATCTTGCACCATTTGGTAATATAAATTTGGCATTCCCAATAACCTCAATTAAGTCGACAAGACCTGATATTGTATGTATGACTGTTTTTGTTGGAACTGATTTTGAAAAATATTTCTTTGATTTCAGAATAGTATGCATACTACCACTATCTGTTATACAAAGATCTCCAATATTTTCTTGGCATTATGCTTCAACTGGACGCATATTAAACTTGAGTAGGATAAATATGATTTCAACTTGATTAGAGCTTTTGTGCTGATAACATGTTATAAAATTCGACATAATGAAAACTAAAATTAACTAAACTAAACTAAAACTTTATAAAATCGTAGGAGATTTGAGATGACTCTTGAACACATAGAAGATTGTATTCAAGATAGTGTATTGTTCTCTTTATATTTGATGAGTATTTATACTACATAACATCCTATTCATACATCATCAAAATAGTAATTCAATAGGTAAATGAATTTATTCAAGGCATGAAAATTGTTCATCCTCATACATTGTCTAACTCAATAATTTTATGATATATATATATATATATATATATATATATATATATATATATATATATATATATATATATATAGAGAGAGAGAGAGAGAGAGAGAGAAAGGGAGGGAGAGAGAGATAATCACTTGTATAAATATTGTGTTTATTAAGTGTAGAATTGTATTTTGATTTAAGTGTGTATGTATGTAGATTAAATTGCAGGTGAGAAGTGGAAGAAGAAGAAGATAAGGAAGGTGATATATGCCTAGGAATGTATGACATTAATGAAGGGATGAATATATATATATATATATATATATATATATATATATAGAGAGAGAGAGAGAGAGAGAAAGAAAGAAAGAATTGGTAGGGTTGTGGGCCTAACTCTTTTGTTTTTATTTTAATTAGTAAAGTATTAAAATGAATATAAAAATTGCAAAAAGAAAAAGGGGGAAATGTCGAAGGGAAAACGTCTGAACTTTGTGCATTACATCTGCAACCCTCTGCATGAGAGGAGGTGGACCAAATGATTGTATCTTGTAATAAAAAACATGTTTGTTTTTTAACGTATGCAGACTGTTACAATAAACTGAAATTTAATTAAACTAATTTTACAAAATGAATATAGTTTTCAATACCAAAATTTTAATAATTCTAATCTTACAACATTAAAATAAAATTTATACAACCAAATTAGTCTTACAATAATTAAACGTTTATATAAAATAATTATACATAATAATTACTAAAATATCAATAAATAAAATTATTAAGCTAGCAAACAACATGTTCATTTTGTTAAAATTTCCAAGTCTGTGATTATTTTTCCTATTTACTTCAATAAATTCGGTAATTTTCATGATTGCATTTTATTATATATTAATAATTGGTTACAGACAAAGTACCACACACACAACACGCACACGCACGCGCGCGCACACACACACACACACACATATATATATATATATATATATATATATATATATATATATATATATATATATATATATATATATATATATATATATATATAAACAATTTTAAAATTATGTAAAATATATTTGAATTATTTATATTATCCATCATAATATTATTAAAATAATAAATATATTGGTAAAAATAAAACAATTTTATATTGAATAATATAACTTAAAGTAAGGTGATAAGATGTTTGAAGATGAGAGTTCAATGCTACACCACCTAGCACGCATAAAAGTTTGTAAGTCACAAGTTTTTTAAAAAAATAAACAATATCAACACACCAATTGTTACACATGTTTTATGCAGCGAAGCCAAAAAAATGATTAGAAGTGTTTTTTTAAGAAAAACAAACAGCCCTAACTGTTCCTCTAGGCACCAAAACCACCAAAATTTCCGGATGTTAAAACTTTGATACAAGTTGAAAATGTTTTCTAATTTATCCACAACTTTTCAATTTTTCCAAACACCACAAACCAGTTTTTACCATTTTGTCCTTCAAGTATGATAGAAAAATGTTGTCAACAACCGCTTGTTTGTAAAACAGTCAACAACATAACACTAGTTAAAAAAAACAAACAATTCATCAATTCAAGAAAATAAACAATATAGTGAAATCCATCAGCAATAAGCCAATACCCCCACGATTAACATAAACAACAATCACACCCATCAAACCCCCTAATAAAAAAAAATCAAATAATCGAACACAAAGCAATAATCAAAGTCACAAGTGATGCAGCTGTGGTACCAGAAATCACTGTAGATGTCGATGACGCCTTGTCTGCCGGATTACTACCAAGCGGAGAAGGTGAGCTAACTATAGATGTGGGTGGATTCAAAACCGGAGTTGCAGATGGTGGGGTTACTGTGAGAGGAGATGACGGTGCTGGTGGAAGGGGTGATGGAGCACGTGGAGTTGAAGGTGGCGATTGGGTTCTGATGTGCAAAACCGACACAATAAGCTTCTGACCTTGATCACAGTTGGATTTATTACCAGTAATGAAGTAATGAGGACCCGGTTGTTCAAGTTTGAAATACGATTCACCACCATCCAGCTTCTCGATGGCATTATCAACATTGCAGTTTTCATAATCATCTTTGTCCACCACCAAAACAGAATCCGTGGCATCTTCATACTTGAAATCTGCAAAAATTTTAAAAGCCAGATTATGACACAAAATCTAGAACTCGAAAATGAAATCGAACAAGAAAGAGACGTACAGAGGGTATCGTTGACCAGAAACCTCAATCTGCCGGACCATGCATTGTAGTCTTCAATAGGGTTTAAGGTCCAGCCATCATCGTCACCAACTTCCAAGGTGACAGCATGTGAAGAAGATAAGAAACTGATGAACATGGCAACTAAAAACCAGATCGATTTCTGAGACGCCATGATCAGAGAAAACTTGAAGTACGTCAAATGGATTTAGGTTATGAGAAAGAGGGAGGAGTTATGTTCACTATTAATAGAAGACAAGATTACACTGTTTACAGTTATATAACGGTAAGATATTATATTAGTTAGAAATGCGGTTAAAGGTATGATTTTGGGTAGTCCCCCACCACCTAAGTTGTCATGGTAAATACAGGAGGGAAAGGGATGAGGGTAGTTTTGTAATTTACCATGTTTCAAAGAAAAAAGACGTTGTACATCACCTGGCAAAGCAAGATGGAAGTATACAAAGTGAACAGTATACACTTTAAAGAAAAAGATTGTATCTGGAATGTGGAAGGGGTAGTTGTTGCAATCAACTAAAGAAAAAAGAGGTTGCAGAAATGGCACAAAGGTAGATAGAATAGGGTGAAGCATGACGAAAGTATACAAAGTGAAACACAGGCTTTAAAGAAAACTAGTTATATATTTTGAAATTGGAGATGGGCTGCTTGAAATTTAAAATGTAGAATCTAAAGAAAAGGTGTTGTACATAAAGGGTTGCTTGAAATTCAAAATGTAGATCCACTCACTATCAAAATTATCATTGTGATCAGCTGTTTTCTTTGTTGGTAAAAAAAATTGGCCCATAGTGTTGAGAATAACATTGATAGGTTGCAAGGTTAACATTAAGTTATATTTCTACGAGACATATACATTTAATTATAAATATTTTCATTGATTTGATAAAAAAGTTTTAAACTTTATTTTTTGACAGCAAAGTTTAAATTATCGATAGTTGTTGACACTTTTACCTTTTTTCCGGTTAGCAGGAAATTAAGATTTTTTTGTCAGAAAAATAAAGTTTAAGACTTTCTTGTCAAATCGTTGAAAATATTAGGATTTTAGTGTAAATATCCCCTTTTTGGTTAGAAATTTAATGGTATGATACTCTTTAACCATAAGAGTTATTGAAACATTCTTTAGTAAGTTAAATCCTGTTGCAATCCTTAACGTTTGCTTCTTGTTAAATTGTTTTTTTAATTTCAACAATCTGAAAGAAAGAACCAAGGCATGTGTTGTTTGTATTTGTATAATATGTCCCTACTTTTTAGTTCAAGATTTGATGGCAAGAAGAAAGTATTGCACGTCTTTTCATCCTTTCTCGATTTCTCTTTTGCATATGTTTCTCCTGATTGTGATTGTGTCAGGTTAAAGATGATGATGGTAAGAAAAAAAGTGGTGCTGCAACAAAAGTCACAATTAAAAGTTCTTGGGTTACGAATGTACACTAAAGTCCCAATATTTTTAACGATTTAACAAAAATATCCTAAACTTTGTTTTTTTACAGCAAAGTCGTAATTGACGATTTGACAAGAAAATCCTAAACATTATTTTTTGACAAAAAAGTCCTAATTACCGGCTAACCGGAAAAAAAGGTAAGTGTCAAGAATTGCCAGTAATTTGGACTTTACTGTCAAAAAAATAAAGTTTAGGATTTTCTTGTCAAATCGATGAGAATATTGGGACTTTAGCGTATATATATATATATATATATATATATATATATATATATATATATATATATATATATATATATATATATATATATATATATCCCTATTTCTATCAACTTAGGTTGTTTAGTGCAGTATATCAAGTGAAGGGTAGAGAGTGTAAAGTGATGAAAGATAAGTTCAAGGGGATGCAACTATTAGTAAAAGATGGAGGGTTGTGGCTCGTTTAACTTGGAAGTTAAAAGAAAGACACAGATCTTAACTCGGGTTGGATCCTCCGGGTTTGGTATGAGTTGCACGGGGTTCTCTGGACTCATGTATATGATTTTGGGTGAATGAGAGATTTAGCTCATTCACACATTCACGCCTTCACATACTCATCTTCACAACTCGTGTTTCTCTCGTTGTTTTAGGGTTTGTTTATTATAGAGTTGTCATACATATTTTATCTTATTCCTTTGTATTAACATTACTCAGATTATATTTGTTGAAGAAGATTGAATATCATAGCGAAGTTTTGTTTGCATTTCTGTTTTGATTTTTAATAAAAGTCAGTTTTATGAGTTTTCACATGGTGAGTGGGTTTAGCTCCATTTCGTGATTAGATCATGTTTTTTGTTCTTGTTTGTTATATTTTCTGTTTGTAATCCCTAATAACATATTGAGATTCGAGATTGAAGATAATTAGTATCATAGTTTATCTTTATCTCATTCCTAGTATTTTAAATATCTTGTTTCTGAGTATGTTTAGGGTTATTGTTTTTTCCTACTATAAATACTCCCATGTATCGGTACATATTTGATATTTTTAAATAAGTAAAACATTTTTTATTCTAAAATTTTCTTGGTATCAGACTTTGCAAAGTCGGAGATTACAAACCTAACTTTGCCAAAAACAAGGGTTGATGGTGAAGCATCAATGCCGCCAAACAAGAATACCATCGATGTGTCATCCTCATATTACCTCACATCTTTTGATCATCCGGTATTGAATTCCATTTGAGAAAAGCAGCTTCACGATGGAAATTATTGCAATTGGAATAACAAGATCACCAATGCCCTCCTCGCCAAGAACAAGATGGGGTTCATTGATAACTCCATTCCTATACTAGAAGAGGGATCACATGATTTGATGAACTGGAATAGGTGCAATGCCATGAAGAGAGGATGGCTTGTCAGCGCTATGGAAAAGAAAGATAAAAGTAGTGTCAAGTATTTTGTAAAAGCTCGTGATATAAAACTAGACCTCGAAGAAAGGTTTTAAAAGGAGAATACTCAAAGAACATTTGAGCTAAGAAGAACAATCACAATGATCAGGCAAGACAACATGACGATCTCATCATATTATACAAAATTAAGAGGTGTTTGGGATAAAGTACAGTCAATCAGTCCATTACCATAATGTACCTTCCAAGGTTGTTCGTGAAACATCACAGAGGAGATTATAAAGGCATGAGAAAAGGAATTTTTATATAGCTTATTGATGCGACTTAATAAGGAATACGTAACTTGAAGAACTCAAATTCTGAGCAATGACCTATTACCTACACTAAACAACACATACTACTTAATTAGCCAAGATGAGCAACATAAGAAGATTGGGTTATCTCGAGGTTCCATTGGGGAAGTTGTAGCTTTCTTCTTGTAACATTTTAATTTTTAGGTATTTCCATTTACACCCTCAATATCTAAATTGGTTGCAAGTTGTCCCTTTTAGCCTTAAAAGAAACACATGGATTTTATCTAGTACGTTGGGCTTATGCTTGGTACACTGGGCGTACTTGCTGGGATCACAAACCCTAATTTTTAGGGTTTGTACCTATTTAAGCAACATTATGGCCCTTGAGGCTGCCCCCTCATCAGGTTCCTTTCCTCTAAAGACTCCCCACGAAACCCTACCTTTCCCGTGTGTGTTCCTGAGCTTTGGTGGTAAACTTTTGGTGTTTTTGTGCAATCTTGAAGAATGAACTTGGTGATCAAGCATTGGTTGGATTGGAGTTTGAAGATCCAGAATATTCATCATCTTCGCAAGTCTCAGATGGTATAAAGTTTCAACCTTGATGATTCATCTCGTAGATCAAGTTAGATTAGGGTTCTTGGCATGTTTTGGGTCCCTTGAGTTGGTTCATGTGAGTATAAGCTACTCCAGAAGCTTCGAATAGTAGATCTTAGTGTTTCTGATGTCCCTTATGTATAAAAATGGTATATTGATGGATTTAACTCAACCATGCAAGGGTTGATGTTCATTTTGTGGGGTTAGAATGTTAAAATTTGGTATTGGGACTTATTGATCCATGGAAAATCTTAAAGCTTCCAAAAACTATGGATTAAGACCTTGTTTTGGAGTGGACATAGAGTTTGGGCGTTAGGGTCTTAAGTGATTAAGCCATTTATATAAGGGATTGTCAACTGTCCAGTACGTCGGGTGTACTTTTGAGTATGCTGCGTGTACTGGGTTTGAACCCTATATTTAGATCAGTGTCAGTACGCATGGTATACAAGTTTGGTACGCTCAGCATACTCCCGACAGTAGGCTTAGAAGGATTTGGACCATTTTTGGGCCAATTAAGGGAAAGGGTTAAATGGTCTTTTACACTAGGAGTTGAGATTAATGAATTAGATCCCTGATTATGGTTTATAACCTAAATTTTAGTTAAGATTTTAATTGATTGATTAGCGTAGTGATTCTTAGGTTTAGTAGCCCGAGCATTTATTTGTTTATCAATAGATCGAGGTGAGTTTGCTTACTCTACTATAGAAAGGCTTGTATCTGGTTGTTGTCTTTGTGACTCCTGTTGTATGCCTGTTTTCTGTATATATGTGGGGTGAAATAAAACCGAGGGTGAAATAGACCCTTACGGTTGAAAATTACTAATTGAGTTGAAATAGACTCAAGGGTGAAATAGACCTGGGGGTGAAATAGACTCAATACAGCCTTGAGCTGACATTTGAGTTGAAATAAACTCGGGGGTGCAATAGACCTGGTGGAGAAATAGACCCGGTATAACCTTGAGCTGACATATATGTATGGTATGTGGTATTTTTGGGAAATCATAAAGCTTTGTGCTTACAGTTTTCAATTTATGTTTTAGGTACATCCGGTTCGAAGGGAAAGAGCTCGGGATGATCGTATCGCACACACCATGATTTTCCACCTTATTTGCCTCTAATGTATTTTTGGATGATTGTTGATATACTCTGATTTCCTTTATGATTTCTATAAACATGTTTGGTTTATGGCTTTAATAATATAAAAATGAAATTTTTGCTTATAAATTTTGAGACGTTACACTACACCAACAATAAGATCACTTCTAAAGCAAGTACGAAAGGAAACTCTCAAGGCAACCCCAAGAAAGAAGAAAGGAACGCTAGGAGCGGAAGAAACGATGAAAAATGGTTTTAACATTGTCAGAAGATTGGGCATACGATTGATGGTTGCTTTGATTTAGTGGGTTATCCTGATTGGTGGTCGAATAAATCGAACACATACAAAGATCAATC